TGGTGCGCTGTGCTCTGTCCCGGGTGATATGCAAGCCAAGGTAGCTGCGCAGTTCACCCAGGTCTGTGCACGTGTGTCTCTTCTGCAGCTCGGACTTCACGTGGGCGAGTCCAGCAGTGTCAACTGTCGCAAAGACCAAGTCGTCGACGTACACGAGGATGTAGAAAGGCGGCAAAGAGGTGTCGGTGCGCAGAAACAGCGACGGGTCGGCTGTAGAAGGAGCAAACCCAAGAGCTGCAAGTGTAGTCCTCAGTGTGTCGTGCCACTCACGGGGCGCCTGGCGGAGACCGTAGACTGGCCGCCGGAGGCTCCACTGGATACCAGGAGGAAACGACCCAGTGAAGCCAGGAGGGCGGCGCAGCCAGATCTCCTCGTGCAGGCTGCCCTGCAGGAAAGTTGTGGTGAAGTCAAGAGAGTGAAGCTCGTGGTCGCGCTGAGTGGCTATGTGCAGCAGCACCCGAAGAGTGGTCATCTTCAGGGTGGGAGAGAAGGTCTGAAGTAGTCAACTCCTTGCCGCTGACTGAAGCCTCGAGCCACGTAACTCGCCTTGAAGACAGGCGGAGAACCCGGCGGCCGCTTCACCCTGAAAATCCACATGCCACTGACGATGTTCGCCCCAGGTGGGGGAACCTCGTCGATGTAGGTGCCTGTGGACTTCCAGGAAGCCATCTCTGCATCCATGGCCGACTGCCACTGAGAGGAGTAGGGATCCTTGATCGCCTCAGCGTACGATTGAGGAGTCGGGATGTCTGGTGCATCCGGGTCTCCCTCAGGGGCAATCAGCGTGGACACGAGATTGGGCAAAGCAGCCGCAAAGCACTGGAACTCCTCCTGCCTGTCCTCAAGGACGTCCGTGCTAAGAGCACACTCACCCCCGACGGACGGAGGACAGACAGACTCAGACTCAGCAACAAGACTAGCAGCGTAGTCTAGACGACAGTGAGCAGCGAAGTCGACAAGCTCAGCAACTAGAGCCGACGCAGCAGAGGACTCAAAGGTAGGGTCAGTGACAACAGTAGCAAGAAGGCACGTGACTGAAGGACTATCAGCACAAAGGGAGTCAGACTGCGGGTGAGCAAGAGAAGGAAGAGAGGACCCTGGAGGAGACGGCAAAGGGACACGAAGAGGAGCAGTGAACGGACGCAGTGCCATCAAGTGCGTGCAGGGGACTGTAGGAGGACGCGGACGCGCAGTACTACGACAAGTGCGAGCAGCATAAACAGGCGACGCAGGACGTGACGCAGGCTCACGACGCTCAGCAAGACCTCCAGTAGGACCAGTGTAGGGAGAAGGAGCAGGTAGCGGGGAGGCGGGCTCTAACTGTGACTGCGACAGGACAGGTTGTGGACACTCTAAGAGAGGAGCGGGACTAGAAGAGGGAGGGAGACCAAGAACCTGCTCCAGGAGCGGAACGAAGTACGGCCTCGGCCGCGCAGCGCCTCCAGAACCAGCAAGGACGGCACCAGGACCCCAAGCGGCAGCATCAGCGCCAGCAGAACCTCCAGCTCCAACAGCGCCAACTCCAGTACCCTCAGAAGTACCAGCACCAACAGCACCGCCAGTGCCAACACCCCCAGCAGCTCCAGCTCCAGCAGCACCAACTCCAGCAAGAACGTCAGTACCAGCTACCTCAGCAGCACCCCAAGACGCACCACCACCAGTAGAAACACCAGCGCCAACACCCCCAGCAGCTCCAGCTCCAACACCACCAACTCCAGCAGGACCGTCAGCACCAGCTGCCTCAACAGCACCCCCAGACGCACCAGCACCAGGAGAAAAACCATCTCCAGCAGCACCCCCAGACTCAGCAGCACGTCTCCAGCGGCGGGCAAACCACTCGCGCAGCTCCTGCGGGGAGAGCGGCTCCCGCCTCGACGAAGCACCGCCGGCGGTCTCACGAGCAGACCCACCACCCCCAGGCTCCGCACCCCCAGGCTCAGCACTCCCAGACTCAGCACCCCCAGGCTCAGCACCTCCAGTCTCAGCACCCCCAGACTTAGCACCCCCAGACCCGGTACCCGCAGACCCGGCACCCGCAGGCTCAGCACCTCTAGCAGCACCAGAGTCAACAGCTATCTCGACAGGCTCGACTGCGTCTACCTGGGACACGCCTGAAGGGGCAGGACCCTGAGGAGGGAGGGGGTCTACCTGGGTAGCACCTGGCGCAAGGAAGAGCGGCGGGGGGGGGAGGGGCGCAGTGCGGTAGGGGAAGAGACGGTAGTAAGGCACTGACTCGACAAAGGTGACGTCCTGGGTGGACAGAACATGACGCGTGGTGGGGTGGTAAAACCGCCAGCCTGGCGCATCAAGGGGGAAGCCAAGGAAGACGCAAGGAACAGCACGAGGAGACAACTTATCCGCAGACAAGTCGCGGACAAACGCCCGAGATCCCAAGACCCAAAACGCAGACGCATCGCCAACCTTCCCTGTCCACCGCAAGGCGGGGGAGGTCTCTGGCAAGGAGTATGATATGAGTTTGACACGGTTCGTTGACGCGCTCTACACACGATGCTCAACCCCTGCGCGCGAATTTGCCTTGCACCGGATGGAAAGTATGCACCCGTGTTTTTTGGACCGGCCAGTTGCACCCACCTTACTAGCCTCCCGAGCAAGTTGCAGTGATTATAAACCAATAGTAATGAAGAGACCGAAGTCAAAGTGTTAACGGATAATTTACAAAATTTTTAAAAGCCCTTTTTTGCTTGCCGCGAATTGACGAAACCTATGCGAAATGCAAGAATCACTTAAGCGCCCTCTTCACAAGGCAACATTGGGGGACTCAAACGAGCATCAGGTGTAATACGGTCAGCTGTTGTTCTACTCTTCACCGCTTCCAACCATTCCGCACCAATATGAACCTGTAGTCATGATTGTACTGTACGAGATTGGCCGACCAATAAGCCACCAAGCCTTCCATCCCAATATTCCTCTCCTTTGACCTCTTCGTAGAAATTGTCACATATGCATTTATGTGATCAGCCTGATGACGTTCCAAAGTACACTGAAAGATATTGGCCGACCAATAAATACTAGGTCGCCACATAAAACCAGATCGTCGTATGCGCACTGCGATCAACTAGATCACATTCGCGACTGCACATTCACAACATTTCTATCGTATGTTACTAGGATCCGGGCTGGAATGTACGACACTCAAAGGAGTGGCACTAATTGTAACGCATTGCCCTACCTAAGCTAGCTAATCAACTTCCCTCGAGGCAAATGTGGAGAGTTTTCTCGACAAAGAGGGACTTGAAGAAGAAGGTTGGCTTTGGTTGGGATGGAAGGGTTGGTTTGGTTTTCCAAACCTCAACCAAGAGGATTGGGAAACTCCAACCCATCAAAGTGAGATTGAAGTTGGAATTGCCACCAATCACAAACTGCCAAACATTTGTTGCAATCTACTCTATCCTAAACACAACCATTCAATGGTTCTAAGTTGGGTTTTCCCAACCCAACTAATTGCCACATAGGCTCCAAGCCTAGGGACCTATCCACCATGGAAACCATGGTTGGAAAAGTCTCCCAAGGGGTGTATTGAGGGGGTTTGAGCTAACCAAGCTCATTCTCAACCTCCCACTCCAACTAACCACTTGGAAATGGGATTATTTGGCTAAGTCCTTTTGTCTCTCTTACAAGCTTCCCTACACTACTACTCCAAGTGCTTTCCATCAAAGGCATCAAGAAGATCTTCATCTCCAAGGCTATTGAGGCTAGCTAGGGCTACTATTTTGTATTCGAATATGATAAAAGCCTTGTAAACGCCATTATAATAGCCTTGGGCATTACATTGGTATCTAGAGCAAGGTTCTTCCTTGGCCTAGTGTGGCCATTTGCTTCTTGGATTTTTTTTTATTTTTTTTTTTGGGATCTTAGCTTGTGGATCTAGGATTATATCCAAGGAGTTGTGAAGATTTTGAAGAAATTTCAAGATCTACAATTTTCTCTTCAAGATCTATAAGAGCATCTTCAAGATCTACAAGTTTCAAGCTTCAATCTCTTCAACACACCATTGGAGCTTGCAAGATCTACAATCAAATTCTTCTTCTCCTTCAACATTGAGAAGAAATTTGAAGAAATTAATTTCTCTTATCCACCTTTGGTGGAAGACTCTAATCTATCTTAGGTAGAAGAGTGTATCTTCAGATCTACAAGGACTTGTCAAGGATTACTCTTTTAAGTATATCTTGCTCTATCATTGAGGTGATAGAGAGATTTAGCAAACACGTCAATCTTAAGAGATTTTGTATTGGATTATTCTATAAGAGTAATCAGATTTCTTAAATATTATTCTCAGATATGTTGAGATCTCCTCTCCTTAACCTATTTCATGGCTTCTGATCAAGAGATGGATGCAACTAGGGAGGTGCCTGTTGTTGGCAATGAAGGAGATAATGCTGCTGCTGTTGCTGCTGCTGACATTGATCTCAACCTTGAGGACTTTGTGGTTGACATGGAGATCAATGGAAGTGAAGCTAGCCTTGAGGCTGATGCTGAAAATGAGGATGAGGCTGGCTCTGATGAGGGTGTTTCCAATGAAACCGAGAACATTGCTGTCAAGCTCCAGACCCAACTCACGGAGCAGCAGCTACTCATTGGAGAGCAGCACTGTCGCATCCAGAACTTGGAGGCTGATTATGTTAGGCTTCACGCCTTGATTGAGAAGCTGACCAGGGAGGTTTAGTTGATCCCCAAGGAAAACGACACCTCCAACTTCATTCAGGACCTGCAGACCACTCTCCAGTTCATGTAGGATCAGCTCAAGAAACAAGAGAAAAAAATCTCAGTGCTTCACGCTCAGTACAGGGAGATCCGGCGTGGAAACCTCCATCAGCCTGCTCCTGCAGCAGAGCGAGTTGCCAACGCCGCTAACAGCCGTGCTGCACCTGGTACTGCACCTCCTGCTGGTCCTCCTCCTTCTAGAGCACGTGTCGAGCCTGCCTCGTTTTGTCCATGGCAAAACTGATGTGTAGACTTGGCTCTCCATTGCGGAGGACTTCATGTCCATCCACAATGTGGGTAGCGTGGCTCACGTGGTCGCTGCGACCCTTGCACTGGACGACACTGCGAGCAAGTTGGTGTATGCCAATAAGCGCCACGCAGAGGCGAATGGCCACCCCTTTGGCTGGGATGAGTTCAAAGTGGCCATGCTGACGGCGTTCCTAGTTCAGCCCCCGGCGCTTGAGGTGCATATCCGCGTGGAGAACATCCAGTGTGGTGACCAGCCTGTACGCGACTACACCAAGGAGTTTGAGAAAACTTTGTCGCTGCTAAAGACTGCTCTCCCTGAGAACGAGGTCATCCACCAGTTCTTCAAGGGACTTTCTGAGCACATCAAGCGTGTGCATGCGGTGAAGGGGGAGCACCAATGGAAGACCCACAAGGAGTGTAAGGACCAGGTCATCGGCACGAATGTGCACTTCCGTGCGTACCTAGACCTCAAGTGCACTCGTGATCAGCAGAAGCCTAGTGGCGAAGGCCCTAGGGGGGGTGGTAGCAGGACCCATGCGCCCAGGGGTGGTGGCTCTTGGAAGAGGCCCTATCAGCAGAGGGGTGAAGCCTCTGGGACTCAGTCCAAGAGGGCCCATGCTGGGCCTGCCAAGGATCCCCAGGATGATGATAAGCCCCCGACGGGCTGCCGCATTTGTGGCAAGCCTGGCCACAAGACCTATCACTGCCGTTGGAGGAAGTCCGTCAAGAACTCCGGCAAGCCCAACCAGGGCAAGAAGCCGGATGGTTCGGGCCCTTTGGGTTTGAAGGATTCTCCGAAGTCCAACTAGGGGGTGGGTACCTAGTTGGTGAGCAAGATCGAGAAGATGAGCCTTATGTCCTTCGTGATGAGGATTTGCTAAAGCTAGAGAAGCTTGCATCATGCAAATTCGCTTGTTTGTATGCCTCTTCTATCAATGAAAAATCTGTTTTTAAAACTCGATCATACCCACTTGAAAACATCTCAGCTGAATCCTTGAGAGAAAAGTTTTCAACCATCTCTTGCTCATTCAAGGAGTTGCCAGCAATCATGGATATTGTGGACAGTTGTGTCCAAGAGCACTTGCTCACGCCTGTGGGATTGGTGACTCGAATCGTGAAAGGAGAGTAATTCCGTTGATTTCACGAATGACATATCCTGGCAACATGGGACAAGGGGCACCATGTATGGTGGACCACATCCCAAAGGTTTGGACGCGCTCACAACAAATTTAGGGTGTACTATCGACCTCCTAAGCTTGTTGTCGCTTGTCCCATCCGTCCAAGATTCTAACAGAATCTACTGTTATCTGGACGCATGAATCGGGACGAAGCAAGGATTCTCGTTGATACAGGTGCATCGGTTTTCCTTGTTGATAAAACTTGGGTTACGACACGCAACGTCCTCATTGTAGGACCATCATGTCCCATCCGCTTGGGTGACGATCGTGTCATTCCAAGTAAAGGACAGACACATATCGACATGAATGTACACGACAATAGCAAAACAGTTTCCGTCTATGTCCTACCACTTTTGTCAGGTGTCAACCTCATCCTGGGCATGGATTGGTTGCGAGCCAACGAAGTCATTCTGGACTTCCAGTACAACATTGTCTCGTTCAACAAAAACGGAAAGGCAATATAGTGGCAAGTCGAGATACTTTGCCCACTGAAAATCAGACGCCTGAACGTCCCAGCGCGTTGTGTGTTGGCCAACCAGTTCAAGCATTCTTTTAAGTGGGCTCATACACTGTTTGTGGTACAGCTTGAGAATGCTGAGGCCTCGGAGCCAGCAATTGAGGATTTCCCTCCTCAGATGCAAATACAGACAGAGGAATTCAAGGAAGTGTTTGAAACCATCCCTGATGGACTTCCACCTGATCGCGCAGTGGATCACACCATCCCTGTTGAACCAGGAAAGGTTCCACCCTTTCGACCTCTGTATCGCCTCAGTCCAACTGAGTACGAGGAGGCTAAACAACAGATCGAGGAATACCTCAGAAAAGGATGGATTGAACCCATTGCATCCCCTTACGGAGCACATATTTTGTTCGTTAACAAGAAGGGCGGAGGATTACGCATGTGCGTAGATTATCGTGCCTTAAATTAGATTACTGTGAAAAACAGATACCCTCTACCACGAATTGAGGATTTGTTCGATCGGCTCCAAGGAGCTCAGTGGTTCAACGCGCTAGACTTAGCTCAGGGGTATCATCAGCTGCGCATCACCGAGGACGATGTTCCTAAAACGACTTTTTGAACACCGTTCGGGCATTTTCAATGGCGTGTGTTATGTTTTGGCTTGACAAATGCTCCTGCGTTATTTCGCTGAGCGATGAATGACGTGTTTCGGGAGGCAATTTACCAATTCGTCCTAATATACTTGGATGATTTCCTCGTTTATTCGAAGACAGAAGAAGAACACATGCAACACCTAAAATGGATGCTAGGAAAACTGCGTGAGCATAAATTCTTTGCTCGGTTGTGGAAGTGTCACTTCTACAAACGCGAGTTGGAATACCTTGGTCACTTGGTAGGCAACGACGGCCTTAAAGTTGATCCACAGAAAGTGGCGGCAGTCCAACAGTGGCTTGTTCCACAGGACGTGGGACAGGTCAGATCATTTCTTGGACTTGCAAACTATTTTCACCGTTTCTTGGAGAATTATTCCTCCATAGTCGCTCCACTGACTGCCCTCACTCGTAAGGTAAATGCTTGGCTTTGGACCGATCAATGCCACAAGGCATTTGAGGAGGTGAAAACCATGCTGACCAATGCTCAAGTGCTGGCTTTGCCAGACCCGTCCAAGCCCTACGAGGTAGTAACTGATGCCTTGACAGTAGGGATTGGAGCAGTTCTTTTGCAAGAAGGATGCCTCGTGGCATTTGAGAGTAGAAAGCTTTCTCCGACTGAGCAGATCTATACAACTTCCGAACAAGAATTGTTGGCGGTTGTGCATGCGCTCCGAACATGGAGATGTTATCTCGAAGGTGTTGACTTCTTGGTCACGACCGATCACTGTCTTAACACCTATTTTGCCACTCAAGCCACACTCACCTGTCGTCAAGCTCGATGGGCTGAACTCCTTAGTGGGTTCACCTATGATATTCGATATCGAGCGGGCTCGACGAACATGGCTGATCCTCTGAGTAGACAGCCGATTGGTGCAGCAACGGGTGTTGATAATACTGAACATAAAGCAGTGTTTGGTGCTTGTTTCAACATCCTCGCAGCCGCTCGAGGGATCAGCCGATTGGAGCAGCAACGGGGGTTGATGATAATTAACATGAAGCGGTGTTTGTTGCTTGTTTCAGCATCCTCGCAGCTGCTCGAGTGAGCGAGATTGCCTTTGGTGGTTTTCTGAAACGCATTCGGGCAGGGTATAATATTGAGCCTTGGTTTCAGAGCCCACAGAATACAAAGGATCTCTTGTAGGAGCATGAGCTCTGGTGGCACAAGAAAGAAATTGTTGTCCCACATTTGGGAAATGTGCGGAATGATATTCGAGCAGAGGTGCAAGCCACTAAGTATGGAGGACGCCTGGGTGTCAAGAAAACCTGGTGGGCCCTCAGTGATGTATACTGGTGGCCGGGATTGGGCATTGAGGTCCAGCAGTTTGTAACTCGCTCTGACCAGTCAGCAGCATGCAGTACTCAAACTTCTGCTTTCCGAGTTTCTTGGTCAAGTAATCAGCTGCCATCTCGGACGTGGGACAGTAAGACAGCTCAAGTCTCCCCTTCTCCATCTCGCCCTTCACAAAGAAATATTGCAGGGAAATATGCTTCGTCCTGTTCGCGAATCCATTTTTGTTGGCTATGCGAATTGCCGACTGGTTGTCGCAGAACAGAGTGAAGCTGGGTAATTGAGCCAGCTTCGCTTCCTCCAAGAGTTTGCGAAGGTACAATCCTTCCTTGGTGGCTGAGCAAAGTGCGATATATTCTGCTTCAGCTGAGGAGAGAGCGATTAATTCCTGCTTACTCGACCGCCACGAGATAGGTCCGATAGGCTTGAGGCGGTAGATGTAGCCTGTGCGCGAGCGCCTGTTGTCAGAATCTTCGACGTGGTCGGCGTCGACGTAGCCGATTAACTTAGGCGTTGTAGTTCCGTTCTTGTAGTAGGTCAGGCCGATCGTTGGAGTGCTAACGAGATAGTGAAGAGCGCGGTCGAGCTCCGCCATGTGTTCAGCTTCAGGCCTTTTAAGGTAGGTGGCGAGTTGACTTGCAGAGTATGATAGGTCCGGGCGGCAGGTGACAGCCGCGAAGAGAAGGCATCCCAGCTTCCTCTGGTAGTCGCGTATCCCGGTAGGCTTGAGTGGAGTGGAGCCTTCCTTGTGATTTCCTGCCGTGTAGCGGTATGGCGTGGAGATGGTAGTTGGCGTGAGTGCAAAGCGTTTGGCCATGGTGTCCGCGTATTTCGCGCTTTCTTCTTCCTGGATGTTGAGGCCGAGGTACTGCGTGACGGTAGATGAGACTGTGAGCGTGAGATCTTTCTGTAGCTCCCCTTTGAACCAGGTAGTGACGTTGTCGGTCGACCCGATGTAGAGTAGATCGTCTACGTAGACGATTAGTAGGATGTAGTCCGTGCCTTTTGTAAGCCGGTACATCCCTTGGTCGTGAGGTAGCTGGCGGAATCCTATGCGGATAAGACTTGCGTGCAGCTACTGTTGCCAGAGCCTCGGGGCTTGTTTGATGTCGTAGAGCGACTTGAGTAGCTGACAGACTTGGTTAAACTCTCCATTCGAGCCATATGGTAGTTGGACGAAGATTTCTACGTCGACAGGTGCGTAGAGAAATGCGTTGGCGACATCAATTTGCCGCGGTTTCTTCTTCTTCATGGCGGCGATCATGAGGAAAATTCGCAATGACGTGTGTCGGCTGACCGGGGCGAATGTCTCGGTGAAGTCGCGTCCGTGCTCTTGGTCGAAGCCGCGTACGACCCAGCGCGCTTTGAACTTATCGATGGTGCCATCTACCTTTGTCTTCACACAGAAAACCCATTTCTCGGTGAGTATTGTCTTGTTTTGTGCTACGCTGATGGGAAGGACTTTCCAAGTGTTGTGCTCCTCCAGTGCTTTCAGCTCCCTGTCCATGGCTTTGCGCCATTTCTCCCTATGCTCCCCCCCCAGAGCCTGCTGAACCGTGGCAGGCTCCTTGGGAAGCACGACGCCGTGGACTGCGGTGACGAGGCCGAGTATTTGGAGCCCACTCTGTGTGTAGCGGGGGAGTGTTGTATCCTCGGGATAAGCTGCTTCATCACCTGCTTCTGGGCCAGGTATGAAGTTGGGCCCTATGCTATCTGCTTTGTTGGTGTTGACTTCTGCAGGTGTAACGTAACCGTTGTCGGCGAAGTGGTGAAATACATCGGCGTTGGCGCTTTCGCGAGGATTTTCGTCATCCATTGGGACATCGACGGAGCAGTAAGGGAGAGGTCCGGCTTCCTCCGAGGCTGCATCCACGTTCTGCTCATCCCAGTCAGCTTCGTCTGCTGCCGAGGCGAAGGCTCGGTCACCACAGAAGCCACCTGTGGGGTCCCAATCTTCTTCCAGGTTGGCAAGGTACGTCGAAAGGGTGAGTCGTTCGTAGAAAATGACACAACGTGCTGCTACTATTTCCTTGGAGTGGACGTCGAAAATCTTCCACGCCCCCAGGTGTAGTCCCCACTGTGCGCGTTGGGAAAATCGGCCAGCTCGGGCAGATGGGGGTCGGTACTGTGCCATGCACCCGAAAACTCTTTACATTTTTTTACTGCCCTATTTTCCTGTCCACAGCATAAACGGTGATGCGTTGTTCGGGAGCGATGATGACGAGAGCAAGTTGTGCAGCATAACAATGCGGTCCATTGCTTCGGGCCACTGGTGGTTGGGCAGTCGCATGCCACGTAACAGCTTGCGTATGGTGTTCTGAAGAGTTCTGTTCATCCTTTCTGCTACGCCTTGCTGCTGGTGAGCGTAGGGAAGAGAGATGAGCCTTTTGATCCCTCTTTCTGTCAAGTACTACTTGAACCTCTGTGAGGTGTATTCTTCTCCTCCGTCTGACTGGAAGCTTTTTAGCTTCACGCCCGATTCTCGTTCTGCTACTGGGAGCCAAGCAACGAAGGCCTCGAAAGCCATGTCCTTGCTCGGAAGGTTAAGGTGCCAAACATAACGCGTAGCGGCATCGATGAACGTGATGGTGTAGCTGTATGCTCCTTGTCCAAGTTCGCGGTTGTACAAGATGTCGATGTACACTTTCTCGAGTGGTGCGTAAGCTCGTGCGCTGGGGTTGTGGTGGGAGGCGAACGGCCGATGTTGTAAGTCAGCTTCGGGGCAGGTGAAGCACGTTCCACGAGCTCGTTGAAGTTCGCTTCCGTCGATTAGGAGCAATGAATCTTTATCAAGCACGCCTGCTCTGATTGTGTTGTTTAACGCCGTGTTGCTTGGATGTCCCAGTCGTGCGAGCCAGATGTCTTCGCCAGCTCGATGTCCGGGTGAGCGACGGTACATGTCAGAGTTGGAGTAGAAGCTTGTGGTGAAGTTTGCGCTTCGATACTTCTCGTGGTATTGGGTTCAATTGCTGCGCAGGAGTCGGTGGAGTGTCATCGTCGATTGGAGCCGATGCAGTTGAAGGACCCGCGATTGGTGCCGATGTTGTTTCTGCTGCTACCGAT